ATAATTGGGTATATAATTTCTCCAGAGGTGCTGAGTTTTTCAGAAGTGTCAGTAGTGACATTACTGTGGATTACTCCTTCGCCTGTGGTTCTAGGTACACAATCTTTATTAAAAAGGGAAGAATAACCTGTGAATTATTCAAATTCTGTTTGGCCATATTTCTGAAAATTTGTCTGATACTCCTAGTAGGAAAACTTGTGAATGTTTATTCCCTTTGAAATTAAGTTAATCATGAATGAAGGGTGCTGTTCGGTAGCCTGCACACAAAACTACGGCGGGGATAAGAAACCTCTAGAAAACGGGAATAGGAACCCTGTAGTGACACTGGATATTAATATGAATCCTTTGTAAATAGTTCTGCAAAGATGTTTTAGAGGTCTAGTATCAAGCCTGTTCAAGAATTAAAAGTTAAAGAAATGTGTTCACATAAGCCATTACTGTATTTTGAAATCCAAGAGAGAAAATGTGTACTCTCTGTTGAGGAAGACTGGTTCAAGGAATTCTGCAACAAATGAGAGGCAACTATGACCATGATAAGTATCATCCTGGCTTTTTCCTTCTTTCTCCATAGTCCTGGGAAGTTATTTTATTTTCACAATTTTTTAGCTTGAGATATGTGTTTGTATTCAAATACTGAATCAGACTGTGATCCATAAAACCAAATTAAGTCCAATAATACTAAACAGAAGAGTCAGAGTGAAGATTGATGAATTCTCCAGACTCTTAATTTCCTAATTTTACTTTTACATTTCTCTAAGTCGTGGATACTTCTGATTCTGTGTTTTAAGATTTTCCTAATTATTCTCTTAATGTGGAGAAGATTGGAATAAATGCAGCTAGAGATGTCTTTGACTTTTAATTAGGAATTTGCTATTCTGAATAAATTCTGCCAGGGCTTTTCAGATTAATCCTTTCCAGTTTAGATCAGCCTGGTGATAAATACTGAAATTTAAAATATGATTGCATCAATTCATCCAAATAGCATAAAAGTCTGAAGCATCTGTGATGTTTAATTATGAGAAGGGACCTGGGTGTCATACCTTCATTTTAACTGAGTGTGCGACTGTTTCCTGGGGAATTGTGCAACAGTTGCCCCACTTAAACTCTGATTCCCATCCTAATTACCTGGCTGCATAGGCCTCTGTGCAGTGTTAGTTCATAAAACAGAGCTACAGGCTGTTGTGTTAGAGCATAATATTAATAAAGGCTGGCAAATCCATGGAGAGCCCAAAAGGAGCACATGAGTGGCTACAAGACTGCTAAGATACCCAAATTTCCTCTTAGTTTTTAAAGTTATTCTGATTAGTTATTCTCCTTTTTGCAATATGTAATTAAAAATTAACCACTTGAGTGCATGCTGTTTAATGTTAAAAATAAAAGGGCCGTTTCTTATTTAACAGTCTGATATATAACCTAATCTTTGTTTATTTCTGTATAATTGCGTTTAGATTTTAAGCAACACGTTTTAACTGAGGATTTTAGGTTGGCAAAATACAGTTGCTTGCTCTTGTAGATGGGACTTTCTAGAACTATATTGAAAATGCAACGTGTATGCCCTTTTAAGCCGTTTGGCCTGGTCCCTGTATCTGTAAATGTATTTCATGTGACTTTTTAATGGTGTCCTAAATCAACATTGTACATCCTTTAGCTTCTAACTTTAATAAAATTTTTGCTTAGGTGATTAAGTGAATGGCTAACAAATGTTTTTGTTGTTTTTGTTCGTTAAGGTGAGCACTCCAGTGGTTACATCGACCACGCAGGAAAAGCAGAAGGACAGTGATCAGTTTGAATGGGTTACCATTGAACAATCAGGGGAATTGGTGTATGAAGCACCAGAAACAATTGCTGCAGAACCTCCACCGATCAAGTCAACAGTTCAGACTATGTCACCCATACCCGCGCATTCTTTGGCTGCCTTTGGTTTATTTCTCCGTCTCCCGGGCTATGCTGAGGTGCTGCTAAAAGAACGGAAACATGCTCAGTGTCTGTTGAGATTGGTGTTGGGAGTTACAGATGATGGTGAAGGAAGTATGTGCTGCAATTATTATGTTTCTTTGTAGACCACGGCTAGATCGTTTTACTTAATTTTATTTACACTATAATGCTTTTAGCAGGAAGTTTGAATGGTTTGTGCAGAACTTTGTTGCTAGCATCTTAGTAGTCTGTTGTCTCTAAATATTAAATTATTTCTGGTGAAGTTTTCTCACAATCTAGATGTCAGAGTAATTGTAAAATAACTGCTGATAAAGCTTACAGTGACACTATCGAGATGACAGTGCGCTCAGACAGAATGATCTGAGTAGCTGGATATGCGCAACTAATTGAGCAAATGTCATAGTTCTGCAATCAACTGCAGAATAATACGGATAGGAGCAGAACTACAGTCCATGTAGTATAAACTATTGAATAATACTGTTTGAGAAAAAGAGAGAAGGATCTAGAGATCATAGTGATCAAGTTAGCTGAGCAGGAACTCTGCCTTAGTGGTGTGAGTTCAGAGGGAGAAATGAGATGTTCTTCAATGACTGAACTGATGAGCCTAGAGTCAATTTGTACTCAGTGTCTTTGCAGCCAAACCTGGAATTCTGCCTATGGTTCTAATATTTGTATTTCTTAGTGCTTTGAAAAACTGGAAGAGTGTACATGAAAGATGTTTTAGTACTTTTAAGACATTTCCTTTCATTATGACTTTGAAAAGAATGGTGGTTTTTCGATGGACCCATCAGCTGAAGTTGGTCTCTATTCAGCATCCTATAGAGTGGTGGACAACATGTAGCTCAGAAGACCGGCTGAGAAACTGAGTCTTGTTTAGCCTCCCTTCTGTTTATCTTTTTATTTCTCTTGCGTTTAGGTACACGACAGTAGACGGGAATAAACTGGATACCAAAAATTCAGTCTAGCTGCTCACTCCCACCTAATTTGAACAGTAATTAACTGAAGGACTGTATGCTGTCTCTCAGATTTTTATGTCCTTGAGTGGTTCCAGTCCCTTGCTATTGCAAACAACTTTTATACCCCCTTTTTTGTTTTTTTAAGAGACTAACTCGAACTATTAAAATTTGGGTTGCTTTCTTTTGAAGAGACCAACTCAAACTATTAAAATTTGGGTTGCTTTCTTTTGTGTGTGTGTGTGCGTGTATCCACTACTGCTATTGGAATACAGTTCCAAAACATCCGTGTATCCACCACTGCTATTGGAATACAGTTCCAAAACATCATTTTCCTGATGGGTGGGGCTGCTTTAATTTACAGACTAAATTTATTAATATCCATTTTGTGCCCGTTTATCATTGTGCCAGCATTGTTCTTCATCATAAATAGCTCTTATTTCTCTGATGCATTTGTTGACAGGAATTATATTCCCTCTAGACTTTGTTTTTGCTGGACTAAACAGTCGATTTCTCCATTTCCTAAACCAAACATCAGAATTCAACTCTTTATGAAATGTGAAATCAATTGTACACAATAGTCCCTATTAGTTCTATGGATAAAGCATTCATATATTCCTTTTCTTCTGAAAGTGCATCTTTTCATACAGCTAGAATCTCTTTATTTTCTTGCTTAATATGAACAGCTGCACTTAGAAATCCACGGCTTATAGATTCAACATGGATTCAGTTGTCTGTGGAGATAAATCACGGGCAAATGTTTAGTTTTTCATTTTTTTGTCTCCTTGTCATTTGGCTATACCTGCAGTTCTGGAAGTCTATCAGATGGACTTTTTTTCCAGAGATGTCCAGTTTTGTTTATGAAGATCTCAGTCAGAGGACTTTTTGCATCCTTCTTAGTATTGTCTTTACAGAAAGTATCAGATAGATATGAATTAACTCATGTATGTATGCATGTCTGTGTAGGTACATATATATACAAATACAGACATACATATTTGTAATGTATTTCAGTTTAGACCTCTGGATGATGATATAGCTGATAAACTAAGAATGAGAGAAAAAATGATATAAATATATTTAAAATAAGAAGCAAACTTCTGAACAGAGTTGGCTATTTTGAAGTATTTTCAGTATTTTTTGTTGTCAAATATCTCTATTTTCTTATGCACTGAAGAAGGAATGTGAAATGCATTATTAAATACAGAAAAAATTGAGAAGGCTTCCTAAATCTGAGTACGTTGCATTAATAGGTCACTTTGCTATTTGAGATGTGGCTTTTAAAAGAGGTAATTTTTGCTCATAATGCAAAATGGTCAAGAATTTCATATTCTTCTACTACAAAATTCAAACATGCAGCTCATCTTATTAAAATTATGTTAGTATTTCATCGTGTATTCAGCTTGAATAGCATCACAGCTTGTATTGTGTCAGTGACATAATTCCCACTTTGGGCATATGAATGTGGAAAAAAAACCCCTGTAGCACAGTAAAAAACCCTATATCACAGTAAATTACAGCTCCTTGTGAGCTGAACTGCTGTTAGCTGACTATTGTCATTCTTTAGCTTGCTGTAGTTAGAATGTTTTTTTTTAAAAAAAAAAAAAAAGTCCAAAGCACCTTTGTTTTCTTCATTCAGAAATATGACCTGAAGTGTAGTCAAATACAGAAATATACTCACTGTTATTCACAAACTAAGTTTCCTCCCTGGAAATGGTGAATCAGATTTTATAACTTTCATTCTTAACCAAATCCATAAAGGAAATAAAGAAACATTCTTTCTGCTACGCTCTTCTGCTGACAATTTTTGTGACGAGAAAGCTAATATTAGATAGCTTACTGTATGTGAATGCTTCGGTCCTTAGTATCTGTTGTTTACAAACCATAGCAGAGATTAACAGGCTATATTGAACTGTTGAAAGAAAATGTGGTTTTGATCTTTTTCTTCTTCAATCCAGGTCATATCCTGCAGTCTCCTTCAGCAAACGTGCTTCCAACTCTGCCCTTCCATGTGTTGCGAAGTTTGTTCAGCACTACGCCGTTGACTACTGATGATGGAGTGCTGCTTAGGCGAATGGCACTGGAGATTGGGGCTATACATCTTATCCTTGCTTGTCTGTCTGCTCTAAGCCACCATGCACCAAGAGTGCCCAACTCTAGTCCCAACCAGGCAGAGGTAAGTTTAGCAGCAGAATAATTGCCAGTCAGAAGCAGTAAGAGTTTTAACTCTAAAAAAGAAAATAATCTCCATGCTTTCATTATAATCTAATTTTTACAGAATTGGCATTCGAATAAAGAGCAAAAATTATTTTAAAGTACTTAATTAAGTAATTGTCCTTGTATGTTGCAAATAAACAGAGAAATAATGAAATTTAACCAACAAAGAAGGCTTGTCATGAGGCATTAAGGTGTAATCAGTTTCTTTCACAGGACCACCTTTTTCAGTGTGTGAGAGGCATAATGCTTAATGGATGGTGGTTCTTTCGTCCTCATTAGATAGCATGACCGCATTACCTTATTTAGCATTCATCATCTAAACTCTACTGGCTGCAAATTATTTCCTCTTAAATGCTTCACAAATGTAAATGAGTTGTGAAAATTAATGAATTAATGTAGTGATTTTTTAATCCCCTTTTTACTGATGGGGAAATGAGATCTGAAGACACAAATTTTCTGTAGTGTTCAAGATCCCAAGTGATTCTCCAAAATTAACTTTTTCAAAGTACTTACCATATTTACTACCCTCTATTCAGAATATGTATCCCCTGATTTTTTAGGATTATGAGTTGCCATTTCTGCATACCATACCAGTTGTCTGTAAAAGGGTTTAAACAAAAATTAATTTGTTCCTCTCTTTAGCGTCTTTGTGTCTGCCACAGTTCCTGGTGGCTAAGTAGATGCAAAATACAGGGCTGTCCATATTTTAGCAGCTCTGATACTGATGAGGGATTAAACAAGGAGGAGATGAAGCTGTGCCTGAGAATTATTCACTTTAATGGCTAGTCAAATTTAAGGGGAAGCTGAGATATTCTGCTTCTAATGGGGTACCGGGCTGCTGACACATTAACGCCTTAGCATTATTGCGCTTTTGGAGGGAAAGGACAAGCATTATTTCTTATCTCTGCGTCAGTTCTACCATGACCCCTTGAACAGCTTGCTTTCTCCTAATTCGTTATCTATCAGGTGATAGATGGTAATTTGAAACTAGAGGTCCATCAGGCCTGCACCAAGGCTTGTATTTCTGGGGCCAGGCTTTCCCTTAAGTGCTTTAAGTCAATGCTCACGACAGTTGTCTTGAGTGTTAAAGGCACAGCATGTTCATGAGTGATGTGATGAGTAACGTCTCCATGAGAATAACCACACAGCTGTTTCAGCACAGAGATGCCTTACGTTCCCAATGTAACAGTTAAATGGTGATTCCAGACAATGTCCGTATGGTGCTTCATAGGTGAGAACTTCTTTTGCTATTGCAGTCTGCTCATACATCACTTCTTTTCCTTTATGTGTAATCCTGAACAAAGTCACTGAAGAAGATCTGAAAATTTTCAGAGCCATAAATCAAATTATACAATTGAAAGTAACAAGTCTTCATTACTTGAGAAAATGAGGCCACTTGTTTAGGGTGCTAAGTATAGAATTAGGAAAGCATTAGTTAAAAAATGCTTATCAGAGGTTTTCCTGCATCCTTTTTGCCAAAGATCTCGTAAACTTTCAAAATTAACCTAAGTACTTAAATAGTTTCATAAGGGCTAAGCAGTATAATATTGGAGTCATGTTAGTAAAATGTAGTGATGCCGACCATTGGAAAAAGCTGTACGAGCATCTTTGGAAAAATACTCTCTCAGAAGATTTTAAGGACATTTAAGGTATTTTCCCCTTAATACCTGGAGAGGAAATAGTGTATGTTTCAGTGACCCAGAGGTCATGTGTCAGAGCTGTACATGTAGCTTAAGACCTCTTGCCATTTTTGAGCATTTATTCAAAATCGACACATGCTTGAGCATCTCAGCATTTTGGTTGTGTACTTTTGATGACATTTCTACTTCCATTCACTTTATCTAATTATGCTGTTAAACTTGACTAAGTGTTAAACAGTGATAATTACAGAGCTGTGGTGTTTAGCATGGTATTGATTATGTGGCATTGTAATACCTTAATCATTTAAGCAGTGATGGTGTCTTAAAAGAGAACAAAAATGGGCTTAGAGAAGAATCACTTGCAACAATTTAGCGCTGACCTGTACTGGAACTCCGTATCTGTGGCAGAGTCTTTCTTCTATAAAGCTTTGCATCCCCCTGCATCCCAATGATATCTTCATTAAGTTAATAAATTGAGATTACCTTCTTTTGCAGAACAAAGGCTTTCTAAAGAATTGGTTCATAACGTGAAAAAAGTGAAATTATTTTGGGTTTGTTGTTTTTTTTTTTTAACTTAGCCACAGGTGTCAAGTACACACAACAGTGCATCAACAGAAGAACAGCAGTTGTACTGGGCTAAGGGTACAGGCTTTGGAACAGGCTCCACAGCTTCAGGATGGGATGTTGAACAAGCTTTGACTAAGCAAAGGCTGGAAGAAGAGCATGTGACCTGCCTCCTACAGGTGTGTAACAATGAAATCTTGATTAACAGTGAGCACTTGAAACACTAGAACCTGGATAATAAAATTGAGCATATATTTTTTCAGTCATATAGCACAGCAGTTGTGGTATTTTGGGGAAAAACAATTAGTTTACACTATCTGTTTACATGAAAAATGGTATAGATTGTATTTTGAGTGAGGCTGTTTTCAAACATCACTAGGCTGATGCATAAAATAAGACCTGAGTGGGTAAGCCTGAGTGACAGTTCTGAATAGACAATGAACCAAGAAACATTCCCGTGTATTTCCCTGGAGCTGTCATGTATCTCTGTGGACATAATTGCATTCAGTTGAAAGTAAAGACTGTCCATTAAAGGAGGAGGCTGTGGGAACAGACATTTTGTTTTGTGTGCCAAATAATCTTACCTATTAATTTCTCGCATATTTTTGCTCTGCTTTAAGAAAATACCCACAGTTGTCCATGAACGTGTTATGCCTATATTACAAAAGCTCAGATATATTACAAAATTATGAGTATGTCAATTAAATTACAATATTAACATCCAGTTCTTAGTAAAACTCTGATGCCTTCCAAATTCCTCATATTAAGGCAAATAAAATCCTGCATAGATAGGCCTTTGAGTCTGGTTGTGAAATGTGAGCAACCCCTGTTGTCTTAGGTCAGTAGAGAGAAAATGAGATTCTATCTAGTCATACAAAATTTAATTCACAGATCTGTCAGCTCAAATGCATTAGCTAACCTCATTGCTGGGGTAGAGCGTGAAGGAGATGAAATTTCGAAAATGCCCGCACCCTGACTGATGGAGATACCACTTTGATGGAATCTGTTATTTCAGTGGCTGTAGATTATCAGGCACAAGTAACATGTCCCTTGCAAAAACAAAACAAATAAAACCCAAGATAATTTTTCCAAGCAAGAAAGAGGAAAATCACCTGAATTACTCTTGGCAAAGCTTCTAGGCAGCATTCTATGTTATGCCACGCAGAGGTTTAGCTGTAACTGCCGTAAGTTGTGAGGTAAGGAGGCATTTGCTTTGGGCAATCAGCAAGTGAAGGAAGGAGAGTAGCAAACCCTTCAGCATTTTTCTGAAGATGTCAGTCAATTGTACAGCAGACATTGCCTGGTCCCTTCTCTGGACGGGTTGTTTAGAAAAATTCTCTTGTATGGATTACTGGTAAAGTAAGATGCTGCAGCAAAACACCATGGGTAATGGGGTTAGAGCAAAGAGGGAGAATGAAAGAAAGAAGAGGCTAAAAGAGTGAATAGCACCCCTGAAACTTCAAATAACACTGCCTTTCAAGCCTTGAAGTTACCTAATCTGAGAGTACAATGGCACAGATCAGACCCATGGAAGTGCATTAGGTTGTAAATCTACAACCCATGGTAAGGGCCCGTGAACTCTGCAAGAGCTGCTCTAGGATGAGCAGATGTGTGGTCGTGACATGACTGCCCCACTGTCACTCAGGGGAGGTTGCTCCTTGTTCACTGAAGCAAGTGTGTGCACACAAGCCATTCCTCTAAGTAATTGTCATGCTCAACATAAGTTTGTTTCATCTGTAAACCCTGAAGTCCCATCCAAAAGGAAGTTAGAAGTGTTTTTAAAACATTTGCAGTTTAAAAAAAAAAAAAAGAATCTTTTCTTGCTAGTGGGTGTTGTAAAGTGAATGGGACAGATCAGCTCCATGTCTCGGTGGTGTGAGCTGCTAAACTGCTGCTTCATGTAACTCCAGCAGGTTTGTCAAAATTTGTATTAATTGATCTCTAAAAGTCATTCAAAATTATAATAATTATTTAATTTTATCATTAGCCAAAGTTGGAATCATGATCTAATAACTGTATAGAATTTCTTCCGAAACACCTTTGGGACTGCTGAAATAAATATCAGTACTCAATTAGCAAAATTGCTAGGGAAGTATTATGGTGTCTTCCTTAAGGGAAGAAAGGCAAAGTTCTTTTCCCTAAAATAAATCAGTTTTGAGTAAGTATTTTTGTGCGTTTCAGGTTCTTGCCAGTTACATAAATCCTGCAGGGAGTACGTCAAATGGAGAGACCCAAACTAGCCATGAAGGGAGAGGACAAAACAGCAGTGCTCTTCCATCCGTTCTCCTAGAGCTGCTCAGTCAGTCTTGTCTCATCCCAGCAATGTCATCGTACCTCCGCAACGATTCAGGTAATGTGCCATTGTCTCCTCCTAAATCAAAGTTGCCTTCCTTCTGTCAAATAAGTTTTTATATAAACAATAGGTAGTTCTGGCTAGTTTCAGGATATTTGCCAGTTTAGAATTGTGCTAAGGCAACATTCACTTGAGCCTTAGAAAACAACATGATAGTGTTCATTGAAAGATTCATTTGTTGTAAGAGTTTAAATTCTGTTGGTTTCATTTCTTTTTAAATTTGAAATGTAATTCTTAAACTGTTGAAATTAACAGGAAAGTGGTATTTCCATCAGAAAAGTGTATATTTTAGTTGTTCTGAAGAGGATACATGGGGAGAGAGTAATTTGTACAAGACCATGAATCTTACTGTGAAGAAAAATGTTAATTTTGTAAGAAAATTGAGCAAGTAAATGCATGAAGATGGTAAATGTTGCATGCACTAGTGCAATTCTCTTTTACTTTGATCAAAGCTGGTTATGTTTTCTTTAGGAAATAAAAAAATAAGCCTCTTATAAAAACTGCAACATATTTCAAGTATTTGGGAACAATGAAATTGTTGGGCTTCTTTAAAAGGAAAAACAAATGAGTTCTATGTTGTCATCACATTTCTACTCATAGTTTTAAAACAATAAGTTTCAGTAGTTTCACCGGGTATGTTGTATCTCTCCATGGAAACCATTTCAGTTGCACAAGATCATGTCAAGCACTATGAGTTAAGCAAATGCCTGTGTGGAACTAATGGCAAAACCAGCAGACTGGGTTTGTGGTTTATATTCAGGCTCACTAGATGACAGGCTTTAGTATGACGATACTGATAAGCATTTTTTTCTGCAGATAACTGTCAGCCTGAAGTTTTTAAACACTGGCTTAACCTTGGGTTGGATTTTTGTTTAGTTCCTTTGTAAAGATGGATTTAATCCTTACGTAGCAGAAGGAGTTGTTCTAAATCTGAATAATTTGGGTTTGAACCTTATTTTGCCTGCCCTGTTTTTGGAGTAACTGATACAGGTCTTGTCAGAGTGCTGCAGGTCTTTCGGGTGCCAGTTGTAGGGTGTGGTGGTGTGAATTTCTTGAAACAATGTCATTGTTGTTGAATTACACTGTATATTTTATCTCCAAGGCAAGAGAAATCATCCTTGAGTATTTACAAAGCTACATAAGACTAGAACAAGAATGTGGTTCTTTCAATCTGTGGTAACTAGGGCACTACATAATTTTGTATGATGGAGTGGAAGTAGTTCAAAAAGTCTACTGGGGCCTTATAGTAAAAATAAAAATATGAAGATGTTTCACTTGCCAGTCCGCAGTTTGACACCTCTCCCTAATGTTGCAATTAATTTGTTGGTTCTATTTTGCACATATTGCAGTGAGGAAAATGAACTCCATAGCCTGTACACTAAGCTCATTATTACAAATGAAAATGTACTGTAAAACAATAAATTATAAAGTAAAACCAAAAAAGTGATCTTTCTAACAGATACCCGTAAATTCTTCTTTGTTGAGGTAGAAAGGAAAAGTCATTGAAAAGACCTGGCAAAAATGCTGTATTATCTAAAGGATGAAGCTGTTGGTTCTGAGTTATAGATGAATCGCAGCTGTTGAAATTGCTTTTTTGCTGTTTTCAATAGAAAAACATATCTTATGTTTAACTGGGGAAGAACAGTCAGGTACTGATAGAAGAGATGAGATATGTGGCTGCTGGCTAGAAGTGCGGGCTAGTTTGACTTTCAGGGACCATTTGTTTCCCCAAAGTACAAAGAAAAGGCAAAGTTTCAGAGGGAAATGCTAATTTTAGGTGTGTTTTCCCCTACTGGCCTACTGTTGTTCGTGGTTGGCAGGGGGTGTTGAAATGTTGTGTCTGTGAATTAACAGTCAGGAAGGAGTGAACAAAGCAGATACTTCTCCTTTTGTTGTAAATGGATGTGTAGCTCTTAATGTAGCAACTAAACCCTATAAAAGCAAAGCAAAACCTTGCTTTTCAGAGAAAAGCTGTTACCTACTCTTTTGATTACAAATTCACAAAGGATAAGGTTATTTGTATTGGAATTTAGAACTGTAAAATCTGAGGGTTGTTACGCTTAATACATTGATCCAAGTGAGTCTTGAATGCTTCCTGCTGTTGTTCAAGTGTATACATAAAACTGTAATTAACAGTGTTCTTCTGGATTTAAAAAAAAAAAATAGCTTTGGAGGCTTATATCAGTCAAGCTTGTCTTTGAAAATGTAATAGGATATCGGCAAGAGGGAAATATGCAGAAACACCGACTTCTGGAAGGAATGTCTTCTCTTCATGAATATTTGAGTCAGATGCATTTAGGCTGAAAGGAGTCCCTGAAAAGAGTTTGTCTTAGTGATAGCCAGGCATAATTCCAATGCAGTAATTATTGGTTAGTTCAGAAGCAGATAATTCTCACATTAATGAGCCTGAGTTGCAGGTGATGCTGGGGCTCTTGGTGTCGTTAACAGAATGTCAGGAGGCACAGCTGGTAGAGAGCCTGGCTGTCGCAAGAGAGACAGGGGTTGGGAAGCTCCGGAGCTACGTTAAGCTTTGGTACAATACTCATAAGACTGAAAACTTGACTTAAACAATGTGAAAACATCATTTTTAAAAGATGAAGCCAAAACATTTCAAATGTGGAAACCACTTTTTTTTAAACCTCAAATACCAATGCAGTGTAGTAGAACCGATTCGAGTCTTCTGTGTTAGACATGATCTACTTTCAAGTCTCTTTATCTTGAATATCAGTTTCATCTCCAATAGGGCTGAATGTCTACCCAGAAGGAGTAGAAACGGTGTTAGTAGTAACGCTTACGTACATGGTCTTCTAGTGTTCAGACCTGTGTAGCTTCTGCTATCAAAAGGTACTTTGCTGTGGAAGAAGCCGGTACCTGTATTCTTCCTGGAACGTGCTGGACTGAGAAGTTGGGACACTGCATACAGAACGTTATAGAGTGTTCCCAGGTTCTGGCACCCCAGCAGGAACAGGCTGTGCCAAGCACAATGCTGACAGAAAAGGGCAATTTTCAGCAACTCTGTAACTTTCTCAGGCTTGAAGGGATGCTGGCGGGACCAAATGAAGGTTACCCTCATGCTGGAGTTACTCGTCTACAAGATTTTAGGTTTTGCTGTTAACTTTCGCAATAACAGTGATTGTTACACATATATATATAGCCATCTGCCACATGCACAAAATGATGTGGGAGGAATTTTCTATAAGGAAATATGTTCAATGAAGCTGCTGCGTGTGCTGTTTCCCTTTATTGCACAGTAGGCTGATACTGCTGTGGTGATACAAGATAGGAAATATTTTAGTATTGATGAGAATTTTATACTTTGTTTACATATATTCAGCTAGCTACAGGTATGATATATCGTACTTAAAGTTGTTTTTGCAAAATTCTTGAACAGTCGAAGTATCAGAATATAAAACTGGCCTTTGTGACAGTTAGAAATGTATCTAGGTTTTTTGTTGCTTAAATATGTTTTGCCATCCCTGCTCAATTTGCCCAAAACACACACGGACTAGATTGTTATCTAGGTTGTTCTAGATGAAAGGGATATTGATCAGATAAGGAGTGCTCACATATCATTTGATCTTTTAGAAACCTCACCTTGAAGCAGATCATTACAAACCAGACTGCTCTGACACATTCTGCAGCTTCCTCTGCATCAGAGCAAGGTGATTGTGAGGTCCTTGAAAATGGTGAACTGACCACTTTACATTAATTTCCGTAATTGCCTTTTTCTTGTAGAGAAGGTTTACCTGTCTATGAAAGACTTTCCTTGTTGTGCATGTCACAAGGGGCAATAGCTGCTGTAATCCTCACCTTGGTTTTTGATCATTTTTCCAGTGTTTGTTTCATATCTTCTTGTGGCATTAGTGTGGCTTTTATTATATTTCATTTTATAACTAAAAAAAGTTTATCTTTCTAGCATGATGAGATTTTATTACACTTATGTTTATTCCTAAGAACTTCCAATTCATGCTTACATTTGTGAAATTGATGTCGTTCTTAACTTCTGTATCGCAGAACATCTAGTATGTATCCACTACTGAGCACTTATGCACATTTCACACCAAAAGCCATCATGTCAAACCTTTTCACTTTGTCTTGTATACAGCACATTTCATTTGAAAGAATTACTGCTGTAGAAACTCTTTCAAATATGTAAACACTTCTCTCCTTGAACAAAATGCACAACAGTGAAATTTGCACCGTGCGACAGGAGGTTCCCAGCCAACGGGTGACGGTCAGGTTCTAACTGGAGTACCTGGCCATCTTGAAGGTCTAGATTGTGCTGGTAAAACTAAGAGTTACTTGACTGATGGACCTAGGTTTATGAAGACTAATATAAGCTAGTACTTACAAGTGGGAGAGAAGAAAGCAGTATTTACAGTAGTCGTAGCTAACAAGGCAGAGAAGGCAGTAGAAGGGAATCATGAAACAGAAAGAAAATCAAGTGACATTTGGGACAGGGACTGTCTATTAAGAAAATTAAGTGACATTTGGGACAGGGACTGTCTATTTTGTTCTGGGCTTGGACAGCAAGTGTAGTTGGGATTTGTCAGTGATACCACAATATTAGGTAGACTCTTCTTGGCTAAAAAAAAGCCCAGTGTAGTTGGGATTTGTCAGTGATACGAAAATATTAGGTAGACTCTTCTTGGCTAAAAATATAGTTGTACTGGTTTGTCCCTAAACTGCTATCTCGCAAACGCTGAGATTACTTAATCTTGTTTAAAGCCTAAGAGTGAGAGAGGTTTGGTACCATTTAAAAACCCTGAGATTACTTAATCTTGTTTTAAGCCTAAGAGTGAGAGAGGTTTGGTACCACCTCTTCCTTGGAAGACAGACCTTATAGCAAGTTGCAGAATTCTACCTGAATTCTCTTTGCTTGAATTCCCAGGCTTACAGGAAGCAGGTGATGTGATTTAAGCTGGGGTTTCCTTGCATGCTCCCCTCTGAGCTCTCTCAGCCACCCTTTCTTTGGTGGACAGAGCCTCCATGTGACATGGTCAGCGTAGCTTGTGGTGTTAGATTAGCTCCGGCTTCCTTGGGTTTGACCTCTGAGAAGGGGTGATGCGTTTCTATGTGAGGGCTTTCTGAAACGGTTGTGTCTGCTGACCAGCATCTTCCACTTCGTAAGAGTCCTGTATTTGCTTTTAATGTACCTTTCATAATTCACCAAGTACTGTCGAACCCTCGACTTGTGGATTCGTTAACAGCTGTGCTGCTTCATCCTGCTGCCAAATACCTCATTGTGAACTTTCTTTAGTAAGTACTGTGCACCAGGTTGTTGAAGGTGGAGATACTGAATTCTTTTTTCTGCCTCTTTTGATATACCTTTGTTAGTTGAGTCATTAAAGTCATACTTTTCAGGTCTAGCCTCCTTGCCTCGGAGCTTGAACTACATTAGATTTCCTGCTG